CACACACACACACACACACACACACACACACACACACACACACACACACACACACACACACACACACTCTTTTGATCATCCTTTTCACATTGCTGGTCAGGGAATAATTCACCGGCTGTGTGGGAAGGTTTACTGGAATGCCTCACACACACGGACAGATGAATTTTATCATCCTCACTTGTTTTCGTCCTGAACAGAAGTGATGTTCTGAAGCTCTGAGGTCAAACAATACACGTGCTGCAGGTTTCTAGACTTCTTTGCAGTGTGTTCTGTTTGCAACAGTCAGAGCAATGGAGCGATTGTACCGGTACCACACCAGAAGGTCCCAGATTAAAACAGAGCCGATGTGCATGAAGAATATGTTTGGAAAAGGAGTTGTCTCTGGAACAATGGCTTTGGCTGCCAGCTTATTGATGCACCTGATTGCTTCATCATAAATGTCTCAATAATGGATGCGCTGAGGGCGTGTTCCTCCATTTAAACGTCCCTGTACATGCTGTATCTCACAAAAGTGAGAAAAAGTATTTTGTTATATCTTTTCATCACAACGTTGAAGATATGACACTTGATACAATGTAAAGTAGTCAGTGTGCAGCTTGTGTAACAGTGTCAACTTGCTGTTCCCTCAAAATAACTCTACACACAGACATTAATGAGTACAGCCCTAAGTGAAAATGGTACGGCTCCAAACAAACTCCAGGAGCCAGGCAGGAAGTGAAGTGTGCAACTACAACGCTACAAGTTTACAAACTCATCAGCTGATTTGGACCAAAGTAAACGAACTGTAGCTGTGAGAACGCCCTCGGACCTGATTGGTCGGGTCATTCATCATCTCTGACCAAACTGTCACTGACTTTAGAGCCCAAATAAAACTCAGATCGCTTCTCGTCCACTCTCCTCCCACTGAGGTTGCTTTGATAATAACACATAAATACTTCTTTCCTCCTCCTGCTGTAACTGACCAACATCACAAAGTGCTGCTTGTGGGTTTCAGATGACTGTTGCTGTGCACTGTTGCTATATAAATAACATTGTGTCTGCATTTAGGTTCAATCCAAACTCCCAATTTGAGTTTTATCTTCTTTTCCGTTGCTGGGAATGGCTGGAAAGGCAGAGCACTGGAAAGGGTGTGGGCAGCAGCGGCTTGTTTCATTTAAAGCCACAAGTACAGAAACAGCCTCTGTGGGCGGGGCTAAAACAAGCGGCAGGAACCAGCTCTGGGGTGTACACGCTGGAGACATGTGGAGCTTCTGACTAGTTTAAAAAGGCTTTAACGGGACAACTTTCATACATGCTTGTGTGGATATTTAACCAAACACTCTTCTCTCTTTTTCTTTCAGGGTTGAGTTCCAGAACAAGTTCTACTCAGGCCAGGGCTTCAAGTTTGTCCCCTTCTCGTTCGAGAGCATCCTGGAGGGAAGATTCGACGAGTGATCGGGCCTCGGCCCATCCAGCACAGTCTTCAGTGATCCCGCCTCTGTGTTTGTGTGGCCGTGCATGAGCCCCAGTGCAGTGTTTTGTCTCCCCCTGGTGGCACTTTGTGAAGCTTTATTGTGTATGAGCTGTAGTTTAGTCCCTGTGAAGTGAAGCGTACTCCTGGGCTTATACCCACAAACCTGGTCTTTGCATTTAGACTGAAACACAGATATCACACAATCAGTCCAAACATTTTCACAAAGGTCAAATCAAGCTGAACAAAAGAATATTTTCATATGCAGCAGTTACGTGTATGCAGAGGTGCATCATCGGTCGCCCACAAGTTTATATACAATCAAACGTAAATAAATGATCGCGTCTCGCTGGATTTAAGGACATAAAGTCGTCTGTCTGTGTGACTGTCGTCATTAGTTCTCACATGCTGCTTACAGCTCACTGCTCCCTGGATCATCTTTCTATCCTTGGAGACCAGCTCCACCCGAGCTCCACCCAAGCTGAACCCGAGCCCCACCTGCTCTCATTCATCAGCTGCTGTGCTGCTTTCACACAGATGTGTGTAAAACCTGTGCTTACACTGTATTGTTTCTGTGAGGACACACCTCGCTCCAGTCGTCTGTGTTGCTCTTTGCAGGTAATCATTGAAATAATCTGATGGCAGCTTCGTATGTGAACGTGGAGCTTTGCCCTCTTTGGTGAACCCCAGCAGAAGGTTTCACACTAGCACTAAATCTGGCCCTAACATCGGGCGGCGCTGCGATCGCTCATTTACTCCCTAAATGATTTTAAACTGATTAAGCTCTGTATGAATATTTGGTTCACCAGTGGTGGAGCACTACTCCGCTGTACATATGTCAGATCTCTTATCACATGGTACATCGCGTGATAAATGCTTTGGCTGACTGGAAATACAGGTGTAGGTTTTGTAACTTTGACTCAGTGAGACAACATCCAGTCGGCTTTGTCAGATATTTTGCGATGTTTCTTTGCTCGATCACAACTGTGATCATTCCTGTAAGTGTCCATCTTACACAGTGACGAGGTTCTCACCGTTTGATTCTAACTTTTTAAACAAGCATTTGTTTTTAGTCCCCGTACATCACCTGTGATGCATTGTCACATACTTTGCCAGTTCAGTCACACATGCTCACATATCAAAGGAGACTTTATGCACATGCACGTCTCCATCTTTGAGAGTTTAGATCACAAACTAAGGCTGTTGTTGCACATGAAACAGCACGTTGAGCTGTTTGTTGCTGTGAGTCGAGCTGTTGCACTCTCAGGACTGATTCCACGCAGACCGTGATTATTGGGAGAGTTTTCACTGGGAACCCACTGAAGATCCTGCTCCTGCAGTGACAACACCTCAGCTGTGATGAGTGTTTTCACAGGTCACGTATTCCAGGATTAAAGCATCTTTAACAATGTGATATCAGCATTAGAATCATAATCTCATTGCAGCTTTTAAAGTGAATGTTTGGTTTGAATTAGTGTATGGCTGTAACCTGCTCCGTCTCTGTTTCCTGCTGTAAACCAGTTAAAGAGGGAACTGTCCAAACTCTGTACCGTCACCTCTGATTGTTTCAAAGCTTGGAAGATAATATCACATATAGACTTCAGGACTGTCCTTTGTTTCTTTAGCCTTTTATTTAATGGTTTGAAATCAGCGTCCAGCATCTCCAACTCCTGAGTATGTCTGAGATTTAAGGTTTAGTCAGCCGTTAGTCGGCATTCATGTTGGTTTGATCACCACAGCTGTTATTGAACTGGATTTTCATCATCCCTGTGTTTAGTTTTATGGGAACGTGTATTTGAAGTGCTGTAATGAACTCGTGTTTCCATTTGGATGAGAAAAAAATCTGACGTGCTGTTGATGTTGAACAGTGACAAGAAGTGTAAAGTGTTAATGTGTTAATAATAAACAGACACCTGGGGATTCATGCTGTGTGTGTGTGTGTGTGTGTGTGTGTGTGTGTGTGTGTGTGTGTGTGTGTGTGTGTGTGTGTGTGTGTGTGTGTGTGTTCTTTTGTAAATAGATGATAAGTCTGGACACTTTATTGTGATAGATTTCCGATTAGTTTCCGCCTTTCAACCAGACTAACAACTTCCTGTTGGGGTACATCACCATGGTGCCTTCACCTGCAATCGTAGGCGCTCCACAGCATCTTATAGGAAATAAGAAATCCTAATGATCCATCAGTTCTCTGTAAAATAAAAGCAGCATTCCCAGAAAGTCACATAAACCTTAGAGAGTAGAAATGTCTGTTTTACACACAAGTCTTTGTGTTTTCCTCTCTGATGAACAGAAGTTGATCCTTATGATCAGCTTCATTCCTTGCTTTTGTTCCACCATACCACAGCAGGGCAACTTGTTGACTGTATATAAAGTTCCTCCATGCTGTCGGACCACAGATGTCACTGCAGGCTTTTTCTAAAGGAAAACGTCTTCTTTCAGCTGCTCCCTCTTGGCGTCTCCACAGCACATCATCTGCCTCCATCTCCCCCGTTCCAGCATCCTCCTTCCTCACATCAGCCCTCTGCATGTCCTTCACTGCATCCATGAATCTTTCCCATAGGAAACATTCTTTTCTCCTGATTCTTATACTCTCCACTGAAACTTTGATGCAACATGCCTTATTCACACCCATTCACACTTTTTCTATGCAGTGGTGCTTTCTTTCTAGCGTCCACACTCTGATGGATGCATCAGAGACCGTTTACCACCGGGGTTAGTATCTTGGCCAAGGTTACTACAGCTTTGCATCGACTTCTTTACAGCGGCTCTCACTTCCTCCGCCTTCCTCTACACTTCCTGATTCATCCTCCTCTCCAATTGTCTTCCTTAATCAGCTCCTCCGGGAGCCTTTTTCAGCCCCCTTTACTTGTTAGTACGCTTCCATCTGCACATCCTTTCCAAATCTGCCTATCGACAAATGTCCGTCTCTCCTTGCTTTGTAAATAAAATGGCTAAGAATAGATGATTTTGTGGAAATCCACCACTGAAATAATTCTGGTCACATCTCAGTGATCACGTCTCTGCCTCAGGGTGTCACTGCTGAGCTCTCTCCTCATTTCACAACTGAAAACTGTTTCGGTTTCATTTCTACGCAGAGCTGCGGCTCGTTTTTCTGGCTACAAGGTATTTAAAAGTCTTTTTTTACCGAGCACCACTCATAACGTAACAATGTTGAATGTACATTTGAGCTTGTATGTAAAATGTGCAACAGCTGAACAGGTAAGAGGGCAGATACAGTCAGCAGGGAGTGGGCCGAACTGCGGGCCCAGCGTCGTTTCATTGGTTTCATAGTTTATATAATACATTTCCATCTGCAGTGTTTAATCACATAACATGCTTTGCGCTATCAAGCTATGAGTAATATCGGGCCAATGGCACAGTGTGGAGTATAACAGCCCACAGCATAGGATGCAAATATCTAATGGAAGTAGATGGCGTCCTGCGTATTTGTGCATCTTCATTCTACTGGATATAGTTTATCTGATGTCGGTATGTTTTAATATGACTCTATTTCTGCATGATCAAAGTCGACTTTGATCATGCTCCCGTTCTGTGGGTCCAGGTGAAATACAGAAACTAGCTGCTGCTGAGCTGTGTGAGTGAACAGGTGATGACATGAGCTTGGGCGCTAACTTTATTATCCAGCACAGTGTCGTGTTCGTAACTGAGCTGCCCAGCATTCATGTTGTTGTGTGTGTTCATGTGTTAAGACACTGTGGTCCACTCAGCCATGAGTCAGTGTGGAGACACAGAGGAGGGGGGCACACCATCTAAACATGCCAAGAGCATGGAAGCCTGCCTGGGCAATGAAGCTACGGGGTGAGACAAGAACTTCTTATACGGCATACAAACTAGTACTATTTCATTTTAAAATAATCCTGAGGCAATGCTCTGTGGGGGTCTCCCCCCATGGCAAACACAGTGAGCCATGTTGTAAAGGAAGTGGAGTAACCATGTGGGCTTCACCAAGTTATGTCCCTCTATGTATTTGTTTATCCAAAAAATCAGTTTTTAAAGCAAATGTTTACAAATAGAAAGTAAGTATAATAAAATCATTGACACATAATGACTGGATTTGATATCTTTGAAATTTAATATACAGTATGCTGTTTCCCTACCAGGATGCCGAAGCAGTTAGCAGGCTCTCCTCTGTCCAGCTCTATGTCCATGAAAAGTGACTGGTCTATGGACCCACCTTTAAATTTCAAAGAAGGGAACCTCTCTGTTGACAAAAGGTAACATTTTGAAAGTCATAAAAGCAATCAGCCCTGCCTCTTTGTTTTCAAAAACATCACTAATGCTGCACCTAAGGGTTAAATGTCCACTCCATCAGGGACTTGTGAGCGTCTCATAGCACACTGCTGTCCTCACTCCTACACTTAGCTGATGTAAACTGTCAGTGTCCCGCCCACGTTACTGTAGTTCTGCATGTCATTTGGCTCAGTTAGTATTTCATTAATCCCACGTACACCTGTAGACACCTGTAGACCCTTTATCGTTACCTACTGGTCCGTGCTGTGCTGAATATGTGCCGATCAGAGGACAGATACCAGAAATAACTGTGTACATATTCAACTTTCAGTTTATTTATGCAGTGATCCATAGTGTTACTGACCATTACTGCATTTAATAATGTTAATTGTGGATGTGTGCACGTGTGCGCTCTCTTCGCAGAGTCAGGCAACAAAAGTCTGAGGTTCATAGCTGTCAGTCTGCTCAGCAGCATCAAACAACGTTGGACTCAGTTTTTATGGTGGGAAAGTCTAAAGCACATTTTCATCACTGTTCTGTTTCTAATTGGCTCAATGACATTCCCCTGACAGAGGAGAATATGTGCACAATGCATAAATAAATACATGCATAAATGCTGAAAGATAATTTCCTATAATATTGTCTTCCAGCTGCTTGAAGAGAACATCATCACTTTTGTGAAGAATGAGCTTAAAAGGTTTCAGAGGATTCTGCAGAGTTCCACCTGCCCAGAGAAGGACAGCGAGGATGAGGATGTGTTAGCTTCTAAGGCTGAAGAGCAGACATGGAGCACCAGGGAGGCTTTTGTGAAGATCACACTGGACTTTCTGAGGGGGATGAACCAGGAGGAGCTGGCTGTCTGTTTGCAGAGCAGTAAGGGCACTCCCACTGATGCAAAGTAGGGCTGGGCGATATGGCCTAAAATCCATATCGCAGTATAGGTTGAAGCATGTGCGGTAACGATATATATCACAATTTATTTTCTTCTGTATACCGTATTTTCCGCACTATAAGGCGCACTTAAAGTCCTTTAATTTTCTCAAAAATCAACAGTGTGCCTTACAATCCGGTGCGTCTCATGTATGAATTCTGGTTGTGCTCACTGACCTCAAACCGATTTCATGTGCTACACGGCGCTCAAAAATCTGTCAAAAATGTTGTAGTACGACTTTGGTAAGCTACGAAGCCGCACTGCTTGATGGATTGTTGGAGCATTACGGCTACTGTAGTCAGGAGCCTCGCAGAGTAATCTGGGTCCTAAACTCCGTCCACTTTAGGTCCCAAAGTCAAACAAACACTGCAGCATCACTGAGAGTTAAAAACTGTCTAAATTATTTCACCTTTAATAAAATGATCAGTGTTGCTGCTTTACCAGGTGTAACAATTAAGTTTAACATCCAGGCATCCATGAAAACAGAATTTATTAAATTCAACAGCGTTAGAAGTTAGCAGGAAGTTAGCTCGCTAGCTTCCACCTAAACATGCAGTGATGTTTGTAGGGTTACTGAAGTTGGGCTAGCTGGTATATAATGATGTGCTACGTGATTGCTAGCGACACAGCTATGTTAGCATATATAGCAGATATATATAAATATAAACAGTGAAGCTGGAGGATGAACGCTAACTTTTTTCCAATCGATAAAAGTTAACATGAGGGTTCCCGATGGTTAGGGACAAATGCAATCGCATGGCAGGATGCTCTAAATGGACCAAACTTCAGTCAGGAGAACAACTGAGATAATCCATCCACAATACGAGGTTAGTCATTAATATACTGCAACAACATGGGAATAGAGCAGCTGCCAGAGAATTCAGCATTAATGAATCAATGGTACAGAAGTGGAGGAAGCACAGTTTTTGGCTTTCCTCATATTCCAAAAGTGCTTCATCTCTTCACTATTACTGTCGCTGGCATAATTTGCAGATGATTTTTCTTGCAGCTGCTGCAATGCTTTTGACCAAAACAGGCACTTGATGACATCATCAGCATGCACTATCGCGGTAGAGCGGTATAGTCAAAATCCCTACCGTTGGTCAAATTCATATTGTTTCTACCATATACTGTTTATACCGCCCACCCCTAATGCAAAGCCTCAGTCTGTTGTGGGTGCACGTAGTCGTGTACAACGACTGGGATATGACACTATAACCCAGTGATTTCTCTGCGGCTAACGTACTATTTAATGAGTCTAAAAATAAGAAATCATCCACACGGTTAGTCATTGTCTGTACAAACATTACAAGTATATTTAAAAGTACTTGATGAGTCAATGTGACCTTTATTTCACAAAGCAAGTCATTAAGAAACGATTCTTGTTGTGATTTGGCACTGTATAGGTAAAACTGAATTGAATTAATTCCGCAGTGGAGGCATTGCTGAGCAACTTGGGCTTCTTATTTTGCCCAGTGATATTTGGCATACAGACTGAAGCAGCCAGCCCAAGAGAAGCACAGAGAAGCACAGAGAAGCACACAGCTGTCGTGGTTATCAAACAGATTATCTTTTATCCTCTGCTAGAAAAGCCTCATATTTAAAATTTTGACCAGCTGTTCATTGTTCTGAAATTTTAACACCATCTCATTTGTTTTTTGTCCAACAGGAGTGGGTGCATCCATTTGCCAGGATAAACTCAAATTAAATCTTAGAAGGAAGTTCCAGCATTTGTTTGAGGGAATTACTAAAGTAGGAAACCCAACACCTCTCAATCAGATCTACACAGAGCTGTACATCACAGAGGGAGGGACCGGAGAGGTCAGTGACGAACATGAGGTCAGACAGATCGAAACAGCATCTAGACGACGTGCGAGGTTAGAAAAGACAATCGCCTGTAAAGACATATTTCAGCCGCTGCTGGGAAGAGATCAACCAGTCAGAACAGTGCTGACAAAGGGAGTGGCTGGTATTGGGAAAACGATATTAACACAAAAGTTCACTCTAGACTGGGCAGAAGGCAAAAACAACCAAGATATCCAGTTTACATTTCCATTCACTTTCAGGGAGCTAAATGGATTAAAGGAGGAAAAGTTCAGCTTGGTAGAACTCGTTCATCTCTTCTTCTCTGAAACAAAGGATGCAGAATTTTGCAGATTTGAAGACTTCCAGGTTGTGTTTATCTTTGACGGTCTAGATGAGTGTCGCCTTCCTCTGGACTTTCAAAATAATAAGATCCTAACTAATGTCACAGAGTCCACCTCAGTGGATGCACTGCTGACAAACCTTATCAGAGGAAAACTCCTTCCATCTGCTCAACTCTGGATAACCACGCGGCCTGCAATGGCCAGTCATATTGATCCTAAATGTGTTGACGTAATAACAGAAATCAGAGGGTTCACTGACTCGAAGAAGGAGGAGTACTTCAGGAAGAGTTTCAGGAATGAAAAGCAGGCCAGCAGGATCATTTCCCACATTAAAGCATCACAAAGCCTCCACATCATGTGCCACATCCCAGTCTTCTGCTGGATCACTGCTACGGTTCTGGAGGATGTGCTGAAAACCAAGAAGGGAGGAGAGCTGCCCAAGAACTTGACAGAGCTGTACATCCACTTCCTGGTGGTTCAGGCCAAAATGAAAAAGGTCAAGTATGATGGAGGAGCTGAGACAGATCCACACTGGAGTCCAGAGAGCAGGAAGATGATTGAATCTCTGGGAAAACTGGCTTTTGATCAGCTGCAGAAAGGAAACCTGATCTTCTATGAATCAGACCTGACAGAGTGTGGCATCGATATCAGAGCAGCCTCAGTGTACTCAGGAGTGTTCACACAGATCTTTAAAGAGGAGCGAGGACTGTACCAGGACAAGGTGTTCTGCTTCGTCCATTTGAGTGTTCAGGAGTTTCTGGCTGCTCTTCACGTCCATCTGACCTTCATCAACTCTGGAATCAACCTGCTGGAAGAGGAGCAAACAACCACTCAGATGTCAAAGCCTAATCAATATGAACTGAAACTCTTCTACCAGAGTGCCGTGGAACAGGCCTTACAAAGTCCAAATGGTTACTTGGACTTGTTTCTACGTTTCCTTTTGGGTTTGTCACTGCAGTCCAATCAGACTCTCCTACAAGGACTACTCAAAGAGACAGGCGTAAACTCACAGATAAACCAGGAAGTAGCCAAGTACATCAGGGAGAACATTGGGGAGAATCTGTCCCCAGAGAGAAGCATTAACCTGTTCCACTGTCTGAATGAGCTGAACGACCACTCTCTAGTGGAAAGGATCCAACAGTCGTTGACATCAGGAAATCTTTTCACGGTTAAACTATCCCCTGCTCAGTGGTCTGCTTTGGTCTTCATCTTACTGTCTTCAGAAAAAGATTTGAATGAGTTTGACCTGAGGAAGTACTCTGCTTCTGAAGAAGGTCTTATGTGGCTGCTTCCAGTGGTCAAAGCTTCCAGTAAATCTCTGTATGTTCATGCACGACCAGATAAGTCACTGTCACTTTAAATACTGTAAAGAAAGAGAAAAAATGATTAACTTCCTACTTGTTTTTTTCCTTACCCCATCAGGATGATTGGATGTAACCTTTTGAGCAGAAGCTGTAAAGCACTGTCCTCTGTTCTTAGCAAGTCCTCTAGTTTAAAAGAGCTGGACCTGAGTTACAACAACATGCATGATTCAGGCATAAGGACAATGTTTGCAGATCTGGAGAAAAACTTTAAACTTGAGGTTCTCAGGTTGGTTTCAGAATTTTTACACTAAAATTGTATTATTTAAATATATAGGTTAGAAAATGAAACAGGGAAAGTCAGGAAACTGTTAATCTCCATAAGTTCATATGTGTATTTTCATACTTACCATTAATTTTTAGTGTGATGGCTGCACACTGAGACTCTTAAACTTTCAGCTGGATCCATTTAAACATTAAAGGCCACTCTGTGCTTTCAGGTCTAAACTTGGCCCCATAATCTAATAATGGCCAGATCAAAGTAAAAGCTTTACTCAGTGAATATTCTTGGTGCTAAATAGCATACAAATAGACTGATGATTATTTCTAATCCACGTTCTTTTGCTGCAGTTCGCACAATTTACAGGTCACACAGACAGACAGACAGACAGACAGCCCAATAGATAGATTGATAGCTTGATAGATTATTTTAGGAAGAAGAAAAACATAGATCTTATTTTTTCTTAAAAGAACCACTGTATTACAGCAACCAAAAAAAGTGATTCAATAAATCAAAATCTAAATTTTATATAATAAGAAGAATTCATTTCTGAAAAAACAAACAACAACCCCAAACAAACGCTGAATTACAGGTTTAATGTGGGTTCTTTACCTTTAACAGAAAAACACAGTAAATGGGGACATCAAGAGCTCAGAATAATCAATACTTAAATGTAATTGTATTTAATTAAATATAATTAAAGTATACATCTCAACAGGAACACTGAAATGAGGGGACTTCAGTTAATAAAATCAAATAGTGTTAAAAAAATGGCTAGATTCCCTGTTAGTGGTTTTAAAATAAATGGAGGCTGTGCTCTTCAAGATCATGTCCCTTAAAGGTCCGATGGTGTAATGTCCAAATACCTCGGAACAATTATAGATTCCAAACTGAACTTTGAAACAAACTGAGAAGCTTAGTCATGTTTCACAACGCTGTCTTATTTCCACCTTAATAAACCATGATGATTTCATTTAACATGATTTTAAATCAAATTGTGAAACAGAGGAGGCATTTTTGGTTTTATTTATTTCTTCATTATGCAATATTATGCTTTTCTGTTATCTCTGTTTGTATTGAAAATGTATAGTGTCGATGAATGACACCATAGTAACCTGAACCTACCCCTGAATGAATAAATCTATATTCAAATATTTTTCAATAATTCTCATTAGTACGAGCTGAAATTTGTTTTGTTTTTTTTCTGTATTTTTTTTATTCCACATTTCTGATGAATGCTCAATATTATGTCTTCAGGCTAAATGGCTGCGAGCTTTCATGGAGAAGCTGTAAAACTCTCTCCAGAGTTCTCAGCAGTCAGTCCTCTACTCTGGAAGTGCTGGATCTAAATAATAATGAGTTGACGGATTTAGCAGTCACGTATCTCTTCACGCCACTTGAGAGTCAACTGTGTACACTGAAGATTGTCAGGTAAGAGCTTTTCAACAACATGTGACAACATTCATATTCAAATCAGCACTTCTGAACCTGTGGTGCCTAACATTCAGAATCTGAAGGGTCTAGTTTGTCCTGAAAATTCTATTTTGCTGGATTTCTTATAAATTTTACTGAATTCTTTTTTTCTTCAGGCTGGGTGGCTGTAGCCTGTCGAATGAAAGCTGTGAAGCTCTTGCTTCAGTCCTCAGTTGCCAGTCATTCAGTATGATAGAGCTGGACCTGAACAATAATGACCTGCAGGACTCAGGAGTGGCGCTGCTGTCTTGTGGATAGAAGAGTCCTCAGTGCAAACTTGAAACTCTCAGGTTAGATAAGAATATGCTTTTGTTTTTTGTTATTTCAAGTTTTTTAATGTTGTCATATCACACATTTTCTACAGTTAATGCAAAATTTCAAACAGATAAACCCAATGATGTTGAAATGTTTACAGCTTGTCAGGTTGTCTGATAACAAAGAAGGGTTGTGCTTCGTTGAGCTCAGCACTGAGTTCAAACCCTTCTCATCTAAGAAAGCTGGATCTGAGTTATAATCACCCAGGACCCACAGGAGTGACGCTCTTCTCTGCTGCACTGCAGGATCCACACTGCAGATTGGACTCTCTAAGGTAGGAAGACAGGTGCTCGTAACCTTATTCAAATTAAGACTTCAGAAACCAACCTATGGATACTACAAGCAACCTGTCAGTCACATGTAAAAACATTTTTGGTTACCCTAACTGGAGCAAGAGTGTACAAAACAAACATCATGTTCTATTTAATACAAGTGACTGAGGCTATAAACCCATCAGAAAAGTCTTTACCAAGGTCAAACAATACCATAGCCACCCACTCAATCCAGTTCAGTTCAACTTTATTTACATAACCCCAAATCACAACAACAGTTGTCTCAAAGCGCTTCATATTGTAAGGTGAACACCCTACAAAAATCAACAAACAAACCCTTATTGGCAAGCACTTGGCAACAGTGGGAAGGAAAAACTTTAACTTTAACAGGAAGAAACCTTCAGCAGAAGCAGGCTCGGGGGAGGCGGGGCCATCTGTTGGGGTGAGGGGAGGGAGACAGGACAAAGACACGCTGTGGAAGAGAGCCAGAGATGAATCATAACTAACCATTAAATGCAGAGAGGTGTATAAACATTTAGAGATTTGGAAGAGGGGAGTGAAGAAGCCCACGGAGGCCTCGGCCCATTGCACTGTAACTAAGGGAGAGTTCGGAGTCACCTGATCCAGCCATTAGTTTATGCTTTAGCAAAAATGAAAGTTTGAACCTTAATCTTCAAAGTCGAGAGGTTGTCTCTCTCTCCCAAATCCACAATTCGTTCCACAGAAGAGGGGCCTGAAAACTGAAGGCTCT